ACGTCGATTAAGGAATTGGCCGTTTTCGGGTCGCGAGAGGGCGTCGCGGCCGTCATTTTTGTGGGAGGTCCGTCGGTTTCGGCCCCAGGCCGTTTTCATTAAGGGGAGGTTTACTAAATGGAGGTTTGTCCACCGCCGATTCAGACCCGGAGCTTACATGCGGAGGCGGAATGCCATGGGGCCAGTCCTCCAAGAGGCTGTGTCCGTGATGTGGCGGTCTTCGTGCATGGATGGTCCGTTCCGCCCTTCGACTCCATCGCCCTGCCCCACCTCCTCGGCCTGGCGCTCGTGGTCCACCGGGCGACGCGTGTCCTCACGTTTACCATGGGTTGCTCCGGCTCTGCTGTGCCAGACAAGTCCATGCTGCAGGGATGTGGTCAGAGCTGCTCGATGGCGAGAGCCTTTTAATAGCACCTCCTGGTTACGTTTCACAGGGATTACCTCCCCCTCAGCTTCCGCACGTGGGTGGATGACCTGCGTATCCGCATGTGGGCATCCACGGAGTGCATTCTGCGCGTCTTCCATGCCGCCATCGTCTCACTTGGCCAAGGGCTGGAACGCCAAGCATGCCGACTATCGCCAAAGAGTTGTCTGATGGCCTCCGGTAGTTCGATTGCCAACCAGGTTGCGCAGCTCCTCGTTGCTCAGGGGGTTCCCGTCAAGGTTCAACGTCAAGGGAGGGATCTTTGAGTAGATGCTACCCTAGGACGACAGCGACGGCTTACAGTACGTATCCATGGAGATCGTGGGTAAGACGGGCCGTGTTACGACGGCCTATGCGTTATCGCCGAAAGGGAGCCTCGCCATGGACCCGGGTTTCTGCATCCCCTTGGGATCTCTGGAGCTCTGGTTTTCCATCCTGAACCAGGAGGAACACCTCCACAAGGGTGTCGACAAAACGTGGCTCAGAACACACGACCGACTCCAGGGACTAGGACGGTGGAACAAAGTGTACAGTCTCACGTCTGCCGTTTTGGCCTACCTCTTGGACTTCCGTTGGCAGGTGGCCCACCCATGGAGGTGAATATGCCCTTTCGGTCAGACGTATTACATCTGACCAGGTGCCGTGGACGACCAGTCCGCAATCCTCGCTACCTTCGCAGCTTGCATCACCCAGAAGTACTGGGCACAGGCGTCAGAGTACTACTGCGGGGGAGGAGGAGAAGCAGGAGTTGATGAACATCAGTTTCGGTAGCAGGTTTCAGGATGGAGGAGGAGTTCTGAACACTTGTGTACTGCCGCCTTGTTTGTAGCTAATGGCAGTATCTGGTACAGGACAATTCGTTTCCGAGTCGGGATGGCAGGGTCTCCTGGATGTTGGCGATGTGGAGCCCCAATCGAGGATGCCTTGCATGCGATTTGGAGCTGACCAGCCCTCATTTCCTTTTGAAGGGACCATGACGATCTCAGGGACTCCCAACACCTCCTCCTCCCCAAGGCCCGGGCAGAAACACAAACGCTTCCCATCAAGTGGTTTCGTGGACTGCAGCCGCAGGAGCGCACCGTCGGCTACTTCAGCTCGAGAGCCTGCAAGCAGCGTGTCTACGGTACAGGCTGCCTCTTGGCAGGGCAGCATGCGTTCCACGAGACCAGGCTGGTCGGCATCGGCGCAACTGGAGGAAGATTTTCAGCAGACCCTCGCCTGCGTCGTGTCGGATGGGGGCTCGTCGTGATGGGGAGGGACAGCTGGCCCCTGGGGGGGCCCTCTACGGCCCTGCCCCGGGGACCCAGGCTATCAACCGTGGTGAACTTACGGCTGCCATATATGCCCTGGCCCTCGGTGGGCCCATCGTCGTCGTTGCTGACAGCGGCTACGTCGTGAAGAGGGTAAGGAGGGGGGGTTCCGGGGAAGCAGAAGTACAACACTGATCTCTAGTCACTTTTTTGGCGGGCCCACTGCGTCATGACTGGCATCGCCGAGTGTGTCATCGTGCTGATGTGTCCGCTCCCCCTCCTCCCCTCAAAAAAAAAACGTCAGGCGTGCCGACACCTGGAGGAGGCTCCTCGTCCGCGCCCGCTCCCAAGGGCCCTTCTGTTTGCGGCGCGGGCCCGCGAGACTGCTGGAGCACAACCACTTTGGACAGGGCACAATGCGTCGTCTTCAAAAAGACGAGGGCGCATGCTTCTCTCTCGGACAACAGATCCGCCACGGTGCGGCCACATTTCCATGTCGCCAACCAGGCTGCAGACGCTGTTGCGCGCAGAACCGCCGAGTTCTTTGGATATGAGGAGGAGGAGGAGGAGGAGGAGGAGGAGGAGGAGGAGGAGGAGGAGGAGGAGGAGGAGGATGGTCTGTACAGGGATCAGGAGATGAAGTTGATCAGAGCGAGGCTTGCGTGCATCCAGGACCTTACGTGGAAGTTCGGCCCCAACTTGAAGCTTCGGAAGGTCCCCAATAGTGCCAAGGCCCGAAGACTCCGTGAGGCCGGTATGCGCCCGCACAGCTTTCGTAGGGATTCCGAATACTCGAGCTGCACGCGGTGTGCGGCCTTCTCTGACAAGCCGTCTCCAGGGTGGGTGACACAAGTGTGCTTCCCCGGGAAGCATATTTTTGATGTCCACCCCACCCGCCACCCCAACCTTTGTATTACCCAGGTTTTTTTGTTCCGCATGTGTGTGTATGTGGGGCTACGTGCAGAGCGACCGAACTTTCTGCCCCCTGCGGCCAGCCCGCTAGCGCGGGGATCAAAGCGTCTCGAAGGTTGTTGCAGGGAATGAAGCCGAAGGGCTTGCTGGTGTGGCCCGTGGGGCAACTTGCCTAGGTGAGGGGGCAGGTTGCGACCCACCGTGGCCACTCACGAGTGAGGATCATCTCGTGAGGATCCGTGAAGGCCCCTGGCGTGCAGGGGCCCGCCTTTTAGTGCAGGTTGATCGGAGGATGAGGAGGTGGAGGAGGAGGAGGAGGAGGAGGAGGGGGAGGAGGAGGACCATTGTTAGTCCAAGACTTACCAGCGATGTTGGAATGCACCCTCCCTCCAAACTCCCTCTTCATAGGCCATAGGTCCCTGCAGTGATTCATTTCCGCTGAGGAAAGTGTCCTTTCTGGAGACGACCGTTCGAAGATCCTGAAGCGTGGCTAAACGCCGTTGTCGAGACCCCAACGCCACGAATCAACCTGACAGTGTCGCCTGGGCGGTCCTGAGCCGCGCCAGAACACCGTTCCTGGGACTTCAACACCGCGAGTCAACGTGACTATCGCGCCCTAGCAGCCCAGAGTCCTCCAACATACTAATTATTGTAGGGTGACCGTGAGATTCCATGACGCTCTTAGACGAATGTGCGCGACGCTACGGCGAGAACCGCATTTTGAAAATGAAGCCATTTTCAATCCGTGAAGCTCTTGCAGCATTGTAAAGCGAATGTGCGCGGCGCTTAGGCGAAAACCACATTTTGAAAAAGAGCCGCCCTCAATCCGTGCAGCCCTTGCATGTTGTAAAAACGAATGTGCGCGGCGCTACGGCGCGAGAGCCACACTTTGAAAACGTACCACCCTCCAACCGTGAAGCCCTCGCACATGTTTAAGAAGAGTGTGCGCGGCTTTCAGGCGCGAGAACCACATTTCGAACACGACCCGCCTTCAACCGTGAAGCCATGCACATTGTATGACGACTGTGCGCCGCGTTGAGGCGAGATCCACAACAAAAACACCCGTCCTCAATCCTTGAAGCGCTTGCGCATTTTCGCGACAAGTGCCCGTGGAGCTAGGCCGAGATAGCCATCTGCCCTTAATCCCTGAAGTTCTTGCGGGGTTTTAAAACGAGTGTACGCGGCGCTGATGCGAGAGCCACATTTTGGAAAAGGAACCGCCCTCCATCCGTGAAGCTCTTGCACATGCTGCAAAAATGAGTGTACGCGGCGCGAAGGCGAAAGTCACATTCTCACTACCGCCCGCCGCCCTCCGTTTGTGAAGCTGTTGTTGCACTTTGAGTTTCAGGATCATAGATGGTACGGAAGTCTCAGGCAACATGCCCGGCCCGCTTTCCGACTGGCCCCGGGGTGCGACAGGGAGGAATATTCATAAGGACAACGGAAAACGGATGATGATGATGATGATGATGATGCTGATGATGATGATGATGATGATGATGATGATGATGATGATGATGCTGATGATGATGCTGATGATGATGTTGATGATGCTGATGATGATGCTGATAATGATGCTGATGCTGATGATGATGATGATGATGATGATGATGATGATGATGATGATGATGATGATGATGATGAGGAGGAGGAGGAGGAGGAGGAGGAGGAGGAGGAGGAGGAGGAGAAAGAGGAGGAGGAGGAGGAGGAGGAGGAGGAGGAGGAGAAAGAAGAGGAGAAAGAAGAGGAGGAGGAGGCGGAGGAGGGAGGAGGAGGTGGAGGAGGCTGGAAGCAGGGCGTCGACCTTTCGAGGGGGAGTTCATTGTGGCGCGAAGAGGCCGAGGGGGACTCAAGGAGGATCGGCGGCGCGCCGACGGGGCGGAAGTGAGACAGGGCAGGCTCGCTCATCAGGCGGCGGGGCTTCCCAGAAACCCGTCGGCCTCACGAGGGGCCCTCTGCGCCTTCGGAGAAAACTTGGGGAACCCCATCGGCAGACTGGAGGCCTCCGTGAGTTTTGAAGAGGCCTGCCCCCTCTGCCTTCCCCCCACGAGCTCGGGTTCGGGCCCGGGCTCGGGCTCGGGCTGAGTCTTGGGCTCGGGCTCGGCCTCGGGCTCGCGCTCGGGCTCTGACCCGGGCTCGGTCTCGGGGGCTCGACCTCGGTTTCGGGTCGCCCTTCTCCTCGCTCCTCTTGTACGTTGAGCCTGGGGCGCGAGAGGAGCACCCCATGGGCGGCTCGCTTCGCGTCCCAGTTCCAAGGCACAGGAGGCGAGGCAGAGGGAGGCGCGCCCGGGCCCGCCCTGCTGCGCGTCCAACCCGGGGCGCCAGAGGGGGTCGAAGGCGCCTCCCGCGCGCCCCCCCTGCGGCGGCCGTGAGCGCGCCCGCGCGCGCGCGGGCGTGGTGCGGCACGCCGCGAGGCCGCAGCCGCCTCGGCCGCCGCCCTCGGTGCCGCGCGGGAGGCTGAGGCAGAGGCCCGGGGCCGCGAGGAGGCGGAGTTCCGAGGCGCTCGCCCCCCCCCTCCTCGGGGCCCCTCGGCCGCCGCCCCCGCGGCCACCGCCGCGGTGCCGCCGCCGGGCCGGCAGCGGCGACGACGAAGGTGACCTGTCCTGGGCTCATTTCGGCTCCTCCGGCTCGGGCGGGTTCGATTTCGCTCGGTTCCGATTCCGAGTCGATTGGGCTTCGGACTCGGGTTTGGATTTCGGTCTCTCCATGGAGGCCTCACTTGCATGCGGATTTCCGCCGATCTGACTTCTCCACATTTCGCTGCCGATTTCTGCCGATCCGATCCGCGTCGATCGCCGATCCGACTTATCGATTCGAGTCTGGGTTCTCTTACTTGTCCTTGGGCGCGTTGTGGCCAGAATTTTGAGGCGAGCCTGGGCGTGGCCACACGGGCGCCCCCAGGAGCCCAAATCTGTTCAGGACGTAGGAACCTGGAACCTCGATTCTCTGTCCTCGATCCTCTAACCTCGATCCTCGATCCTCGACCGACGACGACGACGGGGACGGCGACGACGGCCTCGGCGACGACCGACGTCGTCCAGAGGCCTCCAGGGGTCTCCAGAGGTCTGTGCAGAGATCCCAGCAGTCCTCCTGAGGTCTCAAGAGGCCCTCCGAAGACCGACGAGGACCAGCGGCGACGGCGGCCACGACGACGACGACGATGGAGTAAGCCTGTGCTCTCTATCCTCAATCTAGACCCTCGAACCCCGAAAATATTTGTTTTCGGCCCTCGACCCTCGATCATCGACCCTCGATCCTCGACGACGACGACGACCTCGACGACGGTGACCTCGACGACTACGACGATGATGATCTTGACGACCCTTGATCGCCGACCCTCCATCGATCGAGAACGATGATCGTCGACGACGACCTCGACGACGACGATGACGACGACGACGGCGACGACGGCAGCGGCGGCGGGCGACGGCGACGGCGACGGCGACGGCGACGACGACGAGGACGACGACGACGATGATCTCGACGACAACGGCGACGGTGACGGCGACGACGACGACGACGCCGACCACGACCACCACGACGACGACGGCGACGACGACCTCGGCGACCATGATGGCGACGGCGACGTCGACGACGGATACCACGACGGCGACGACGACTTTGACGACAACTGCGACGTCGACGAGCCAGGTTGCCGCGGACAAGGAGGACGAAGAGGAGCAGGAGGAGGAGGAGGAAGAGGAGGAGGAGGAAGAGGAGGAGGAGGAGGACAAGGAGCAGGACGATCCTCGAACCTCGATCTTCAGCCCGAGCAGGGCGATCCTCGAACCTCGATCTTCAACCCTGGACCCTCAATCATGACGACGGCGACGACGGCGACGGTGATCTCTGCTGCTGATGTTGTTGCTGCCTCTGCTGGTGCTGCGGCTGGTGCCCAGGAGGGCCTGTTGGGGCCATTCAGGAGAGCATCGATCACAAGATGGGGGGTCCTCGATTTCGGCTCCCTCCCAGGAACCCTGAAAATCGCCTCTTGGAGCTCTCCTGGGGCTCTGTGGGAGTGTTTTGGAGCTCTCTTGGGGCTCTTTTAGGGGTTTTGGGGCCCTCTTGGGGCCCTCTTGGGGCTCTCTTGGGGCCCTCTTGGGAGCTCTGGAAGGCCTCTTGGGGCCATCTTGAAGGCCATCGATCAAAGGAGGAAATTGTGCAACGTTCAGTCGCCCCCCCCAAAGAGGCCAACATGGGGCCCAAACCTTACTAAAACCATTGATTTTGGCGCCCAGAGGGTTGGTGGGATAAGGTTCAGCTCCCCTCCCCCCAAAGAGGCCCAAATGGGGCCGAAGCCTCAGTAAACCAATGATTTTGGCGCCCAGAGGGCTGGTGGGGCATTTTTCGGTCCCCCCCAAAGTGGCCAACATGGGGCCAAAACCTTAGTAAAACCAGTGATTTTGGCTTCCTCGCCGAAGCCGTTTTGGACGCCCTGACACCTCGCGGGCCCCCCCAAAAAAGTCCAGGGGAGGGGTAAGGGGAGGGGTAAGTCCCTGCCCGTAGGGGAAGAGGGTTGTTTTGGAAGAGGGAAGAGGAATCCCGGAGGGCTGGTGGGACTCAAGCGATCTTCGATCTTCTGTCCTCGAACCTCGATCCTCTGTCCTCGATCTTCGATCCTCCACCTTCGATTCTCCACTCTCGATCGACAGCGACGACGACGATGACGGCCACGGCGACGACTTCCACGACGGCGACTGTGGCGACGACGTCCACGTTGAGTATGGCCTCGGCGACGACCTCGGCGTCCATCACGACAGCGACGGCGGCGGCGGTTCGGAGGAGGAGGAGGAGGAGGAGGAGGAGGAGGATGAGAAGGGGAGGGAGGGAGGGAGGGAGGGAGGGAGGGAGGGAGGGAGGGAGGGAGCGAGGGAGGGAGTGAGGGAGGGAGGGAGGGAGGAGGAGGAGGAGGAGGAGGAGGAGGAGGAGGAGGAGGCGGAAGAGGAAGACCCTCGATCCACAGTCCTCGATCTTTGACGACGGCGACGAGGACGACGCAGTTCAGATGCCTCGGGAGGTCTCCTCTGCTGGAGGCCTCCTCGGAGGCCTCCGGAGGCCCTCCATGCAGAGGCGAGACACTCCAGAGGCCCTTCGGATGCCCTTCGGAGGAACCCTCTCCGAAGGCTTCTGGAGGCACTCCGAAGGCCGACCGACGGCGGCGGCCCCGACGAGCCCAGGCATCCGATGTCTTGAGTTTCTCAATGCCGGGTCCCCGGAGGTCTGGGCCCAGGATCGGTCATCCTGAGTTCTTTTCTGACGGTCCCAGGGCCTCGGCCTCCTGCGGCCAAAAACTGCGAAAAGCTTCCGCATTCCTTGAAATCTGACATTGCGAACAGTGCAGCATCGCGAGCAAGCGCGACAGGAGCGTTGTAATCATCCCATCATTGTGCGGCATGTGTGGAGCCAGATCGATCTGTGATGGTCCCGAGGCCAGAAAATTCCAAGCGTGAAAACAATGGCAACGCCTGGATCTCAGGGTTGAGTTTCTCAAGGTGTTGGAGATCTGGGACCGGCGGTGGCGACGGCTGGCGGCAACCTCAGCTCAGCCTCGCAGCCTCTCAGGCCCCAAGACCGACGGACGGCGGCAGCTGAAACGACGGGCGCCAGCTGCGACGGCTGTCGACGACTGGCCGGCGACCAGCGACGACCCGCGGCCGCCGCGACGGCCGGCGGCGGTCGGCGACGGCTGGCAGCGGCCGTCGCGGGGTGGCGACGGCGTCGGCGTCCGCGGCGGTTGGCGGGGACGGCCTCAGCTGAGCACACAGGCCGGGCCGAGGAGCTGGAGGCGGGCGCAGAGGCGGCTCGCCGCGCCGCGGCGGCCGCCGCGGAGGAGGACGGGCGGCTGGCGGACGCGCTGCGGAGGGAGGTCGCCGAGGAGGAGGCGGCCTGTCTTGTCTTTTATCTTGCCCTCCAGACGTTGCCATTTTTGCGCCACGCGTGTTGTGGCCCGGCTTCGGGCCCCATGGCCCTCACACAACGATGCGGCTTGTAAATGGCGCTGAAAGATGGGCTGGCTCCAGTCTTGATTTTTGCGATGTTGCATTTTTTGGGCAGCGTCGGATCTCACGGTGTCTAAAGCGTCCCGGTGGGGGCCCTTCTGCTGCTCGGCAGATCTCCGACGACGCGATACCTTCGATCCGGGCGTTTTCCCTCCCTTTCGGCGGCGTCCCGCGGGAGGGAGGTTCTCTCGCCGCGGGATGCTCGCAAGCAGCTCCGCCTCGCCGAGGGCGTTCTGGGGCTGTCCGGCTCGTCCTCGTCGGCCGCCGGAGGCCCGAGCCATGGCCCGAAAGGTCTGAGGCGTGGAGTCCCGGCCGCCCGCTGCTCGGCACGGCATCCCCAGAGCGCCAACGTCTCGAGCAGCTCCGCGCGGAGGTTTCTCGCCGCTGTTGGCTTCAGGGTGCGCTCGCCGGGGCCCCAGGGCGCCGTCGACAAGAAGCTCGGGGTGGGGAGCCGGCCCCAGGGACAGGGTCGGGGCTTCTGGGGACCGCGCGTTGAGAAGTTTAAGACGGCGGATGTTTGGGCATGGCGTCCCGAGGTTGTGGAGGAGGAGGCGGCCTGTCTTGCCCTGTCTTGTCTTGTCCAGCCTTCGGGAGCCTGGATCAGTGCAATCATATATTTTCCGCCCCAGACAGCAGTTTTTTCCAGGGGCCTTCGCTTGGTGGCGCGCCAGACGGCTCCTCGGCTCGCCCGGGGACCGCGCTCTGGCGGTTTGTCCCCCCCGTCTCTCAGCACCTGGCGTTTGCTCCTTCGGTGCATTGTCGTCTGCTGCGAGAGATTGCTTGTCTCCCCAGAAACAGATCAATTACCGGACCCTTGCGAGCCTCCTTGTCTTGTCACGTGTCGTCTTTCGTCGGGAGACATCGAAGTTCTGGTCAGAACGCAGCCTGGAAGAGGTCCGGGAGTAGCGCGGTACCGGTATTTGTTGTTTTCCCCGCGAAAGCCACATAACGCCATCATATGCGGCCGCGGAGACGCGTTACGGCAGTTTGTGCTTTTGTAGCTTCTATGGTGGCCCAATGCGCTTGGCCGAGCAGTGCAACTTCCGGGTTGTGGTGAAGTCTTGGGGGGTCGTTGTCGGGCCCCAGGACCTTCAAAAAACGGCTCCCCGAGCGGGGAAGGGGTGGAGCTCTGGGGGCGCGGAGTGAGTAAGTCACTCACGGCATGATGTCCCGCGGGGGGGGGAACTTCTCGTTGCTTGTTGAAGGCTTGCTCGCTTCGGGATGCTTTCCAGCGGCTGCGCCTCGTCGAGGGCTTTCTGGGGTGTGTCTGGCTCGTCCCAGATCTGCGCCGGAGGCCCGAGTCATGTCCCGAATGCATTGCGGCGTGGAGGCGGCCAAATTTGGTATGCCATCCAGGAAATGGGGTCTTGAAGGAAACGGGTCCTGAAGCTTGTCGTCGTTTTCGGGTTGTGGGG